TGAACCCATTCATGGCCGCCGAGAATTCTCATCTCAGGTGTTTCTCAGAGGGTTCAATTAGAGGCATTAAAATCAAATCACAACTAAGTCTCCAAAGTTTGAAAAGCTATTTCACTAAACCCTTTCCCTTGTCAGTTGCTTAGAGGCATCCATAAAACCAAAGCCCTTTTTCAGTTAGCCCTAAAGTCTTCTACGAAACATACAGAAGAGACAAGTTAATTTATACTGTAAGAATCTAGCTGAAATCTCTCAAAACTTAACACACATATTCAAACCTTCTTCACATAGCCCCCCATTATGAAATTTAATCAAAAAATTGAATTGTGCAGTCTTATCTTCACCTTCTGAAGAGAACCACAGCAGAACACCAAACAGCCACACTCACTGTGACCACCCCGTGTGGGGTTATGAAAATGTGGTTGATCAGTAAGTGTATCATGCTGCTGTTCTGGCTATCCGCTCCTGTACAAACACAAGGGTGGCACAACAGAGGAAAACTTCATTTAACCCTGAATAAAACAGGATATACAGTGATTTACTCAATTTGTATTGCTACTAGTGTGCACCAACAACAGAATGCAACAGCTGAGGCCTTCCCAAGCCCTTTTGAACCAGTTAACAGTTACTACCTCTGTCCACAGATGGCATTTTCAAGTACTTTTAACACAAAGGAATTCAGGAGGGTATTCTTCTCCAAGTTGTTATAAGAAGCTAGAGATTTTCTCATAAAAAAGGAGCAAGAGCTCTACATAGACATTTAAGAGAAGGAAAGAAACTGCTTTGCTGAAACACACACCAGGCAGCAAGTGGTTGATTGAAGTCAGGCTGGTCAGCATTTCACTGAATCCATGATGCGATTTCCTGTGATAGTAATAGACTGGACTTGATGATGCAGTAGTTCCTACCTAGTTCCATGTAAAACATTGGCATAGTTCCAACAGAGCCTCAGAGTGCACAGGAAAAAATAGGAAGTAGCCAATAGAACACTAGTTGTCTAATGTAAAGAGCCAAGTACATTTAAAGCACCCGAGTGCTATTTCCAAAAACAACTTAAACACTTAAGAGCCTAGTTTCACAGAGTTAGTGGAAGTTGGGAGACTTGTTTGAAGAATATTTTTACCTTAGGTTGTTTTGGACCAAGGGAAAACTGCATTGGCACTGACAACAGAGCTAAAGCTGCCAAATAGTTCTAACTCATACAATTTTTGTAGCATAGGCAGTGCTTTTGCACATACAATGCCTTAAATATTTGTCAGAGGCATTACAAAGCCTAGTTTCAAATTAACACCTTGGATTACATACTTTGTTGCCAGTGATTGTGACTACTTTTGTATTTGTACAATGCCTAAGGGTGGGGGGGTCAACCCTAGATCTAGGTTTCATGATATAAATGTCATGATACAAGATGAAGAAAAATCCTGGAAGGGAGTTCCTATGGATTTTTCTGTACATCTTCATAGAATGGGCTCATCATTCTGACTATTCCAGCTTAGTCAGCCAAAACTGGGCTCTGAGAGGGAAACACACTATTACTCTGTTTGGAATTTTGTTTCTATTTGGATAACTGAATGGGGAAGACTTTACAGAACTTTCTTAAGTCACACACAGCTCATTACAACTACCTATTCTTAAGGTGAAATTCTATATAGTCTTTGAACTTAGCAAAGGCAACAAGTGAAAAATGTTGCTCAAGTGTCCATGGTGCTAAATGCCATTTCCTCTCATTGGCTTTAGGACTTGAGGGTGCTCAACATGTAGCTGGGGTCAGCTTCCACAGGTTAAATTATTTGTTCATAATTTAAACTAAGTTTACAGTACTAATAAATTATAAAAGACAATTTTAAGTAAAGTATATTGCAGTACAAGAATTTACTACAGCAGTCTCTTCTCTAGATGCTATCTCCAAGAGGTGGGAATTTTTTTTCTATATAAGTGATTGTGTGGATTAGTACCACTCTATTGTACATGTAGATAATTTAAAAGAAATCTCTTGGAAGAGATTCTGGGCCAAGTTCTTAGCTAGCACAGATTAGTACCTTGTTGACATCAGCAGTACTATACTGGTTTACAATAGCTGAGGATCAGCAGTACTATACTGGTTTACAATAGCTCAGAATTTTTGTTTCAATGCCTAACTGTAAACTTAAACTAGACAAAAGTTGGCCTAATTAAGTACAGCGCATCTTTAGGAGTATACACAGTACACTGCTAAGTGCATAGTAGTAGTATGTATGATTATGATTAACAGGTGCCAAGAGAAATTGCAACGAGGAGACCCCAAGCAAAAATAATCTTGCCCAAAACTGTTTAGAGCACTGATACAAAAGTCTTTCTGAGGCTCACAGTGCAAGCACTGTGACTTTTCGGTTAAAGACAGAGAAAAAACAGAGCAGAACTGAATTTGCTAGTCAAATAACATGTATTTTTTTAAAACAATATTAATACATTTGCCCAGAATTCTTTCCCAATCTTTTGAGAATATAGCTCAATATTTTCAAAATGTACATAACTTGCAAAAACAATACTGATTAAAAAAAAAAAGATTGATGGTACCTTAAAAATACCCAGAATATCAAACTCTTTCCAGTCCAGCATTACAATTAGCATAAGAATTCCTTCTGAATTTTTTTTTTTTTAACAAAGTATGGGTACTGAAACCGAAGTTATAAGAAACACCATGAAGTGAAAATACCAACAATCTTCTGCAGTTTAAAAAAAAAAAAAAAGAAAAATCAGAATGTTCTTTGGAATCACTGAGTTATCAAAAACTTGAGTTTTTCTAGTCTCTGCAACTTCTTTTCAGATCAGCCTGTTTGTGTACAGATCGAGTCTTTCAGCAGTTTAACAGCCACAGTCTAGAAATACAGAATCTCTGACCAGCAGGCAGCTACATTAAACAAGAGATATTGGCATACTTTTTATTAATGACTTCTGCCAAAAATAAAGACTGTCGAGTCTGAGACATCCCTGTTTTTGGAGATTTTATGTACTTCATGTGTGTATTTCCAGTGCAACTTTTTTTTTCAGCACTTGTGACAGGTGAGATGGGGTGGGGGGGAGATATAAAAGGAGAAAGAAACACACTCTCCTGCAGTCTTGTTTGCAGGTAACCAACAGCCATGACATGTTGAACTACCAGGTTTCATTACTGTTAAAACCATTTCCCCAGTGCTGGCAACTTGGATTAGCTTATTAAGGATTTCATTTCTAAGAAATGGACTACAGTTTAGCATGAAATCTGGCCATGGCTATTGTGTCGATGAGCATATAGATGTGTTAGAGATGCTTTCCCCTTTTGGTATTGGCTGGAAATGCTTAGAAATAAGTCCATTATATTTCTCCACGTGTCATGAAATGTGGGAGATCTGTCTGACTCTAGTCTGTATTTCCTGTCGACACAAAGGGCAGGTTTCCAGTTGCAAGGCACACTCCATGCACAGGTCACTGAAGAAGAGAAGGTCAGTTAAAATCTTGATTTATGGTATTAGTTGTTTAGCACAGATAACAGCCAGGCTCTAATAAAACCACCCTTCATTACAATATTCAACCTGCAATAGAATAGGGGGCACCAGAATGGATTTACAATGTTAGGGACTGCAAGAGACTAAATTTTCACAGCGTCCACTGGAGTCAACAGAAACTCAAGATAAGCACTTTGCCAGGAAGCCTCAGGAACTTGGAAGGATTTAAATTTGAACTGCAGTTAAACTTGCATCTATCGCTCTGTTTTAATCTAAATAGGAGGCACAGTTTGAACAGTGGCAGTGCACAGCTCCTCATACTTGCCTAAATCATGACTTATAAACAAGTCTGTCCAATTAATGGCCCTGTAGGCTGGCAGAGGTGGGAGCTGGGCTGCTCACACTGTACATACCATGTGGTTGCACTGGGCAATACGTGCAGTGGGGTGGGGAGTTGGGTGGGCGGGAGGCACTCACTTGCCCATGCATCCTGTGGCCCCCAATCCTGTGGCCTCTCAGGTAAGCAGCCCCCAGCTGCCTAGAAGTTGGACAGCCCTGACTTGTTGGCTAAGTACAGACAGTCAAAAAGCCTGAGGCTGAATCGATTCAATCTTTGCAGGTTTCTCTAAGCTGCCTAGATTGGACCAATAAGCAAGTGAACTAATGTTCACTTTTCAAACAGGGAAGGCAGAGAGACCCCTGCAGGGCCCATGCCAATAGCTAGGGGGCACTAGAGCATGCCTCTCAGCCTGCTGGCCGCTGCAGAGAGCTGGAAGCCCTCCAATTCCCTGAGCCATGCCCTCTCCACAGCACAGGCTGAGGCAAAAGGGATGGAGATGCCAGCAGCAGGCCCTTGGCTCTGCCCCTCAGTGGCCTGGAGGTTAAGGGGGCATGGGGCTCCAGTTCTGCTCCTGGCTCTAGGGGACATAGCCAAGCCCTGGTGCAAGCTTCTCTCTCTACCCAGCCAGCAGGGAGCTGAAAAGGGTGTGTGGCCCCTGGCTCCCTGCTCTGGGGGGCAGAGTCAAACCTCAGCTGCAGGCTCCCCCTCCCCTCCCTGAGCCAGCAGCATCTGGCTGGGGGTCTGGTTCTCTCCCCACCCCACCCCCACCTACCAGCAGAACCCAGATAGGAGTCTGATGCTAGGCCAGAGGGGTGGGTCCCTTTTCCCTCCTGACCCAGGCACCCAGAGAAGTGATAGTGCTCCAGCTAGGGAGCAGAGGGGTCGGGCAGACCCTGCTCACTGGAGCAGACAGCACAGCCCAGGGTTACAAAGCATCCTGGGATGCTGGGGGACTGAGTTAAACTTGAACTGGGAGGGCATCTGGGACAGAAGTTCCATAAACCAGTTTGACCTAAATCAGTTATGTCTGATTCTATATCCAACCAGGTTTATCTTAAACCAGCTTCAGCCATTTTGAAAGCAGTTTAAGGGCACTGAACTTCTGTTCTGTTACAGGTTTAAACCAGTTTCTGATCACTTAAATGAGTCTGTGTGTAACTTCTGTCCCTAGCTGTTATGTCAAGCTTGAGAGGTATGAAGTGAAGCATATTCTGCATGCCCACTCAGTTCTTTAAGGATTGCCAACCAAAAAGGTCAGTTCTAACACTAGCTTGATTTCCAAGGAATTAAGAGCAATACCTACAAATAGAAATGTATTTCATATTTAGCTGCTTAAAAGTCATTATGGTGACTCTGGACAGGCCTACATGTTCATTAATGTGCCATAATTATGGCACATTACATTTAGTACCTGTCACACTACTGTGCATTAGTGCAGATGAATGCTTTTTTTGGTGATGCCAAATGCATATTAGACTAAGTCTACTGCACAATAGCATGCTTTTTGCATAACGTGTTAAGGCACCATAAAATTAAATCTAATGTGCATTTAGTGTCTCATTGATATGCCCACTGTCAAGTACTTAACTACCTGAACCTTCAAGCCACCTGTTGAGATACAAGAATCCACATCATAACAGCTTTGTGGCATGTTCCCCATCCCATTCCCCCACCCCCTCCCATTTCCTTTCTTGAGTATAAAAACCTGTATCTGAAACCTAGGTATTGTTTATTTTATTTGTTTGAAAAAGCATTTTCCAGACCAGTTAGATTTGGCAGTGCAGGGTCTGTGTAAAGTTAAAACACTCAAAAGGTTAGCAATTCTGCACGGATGCTACTGGTCTTAAATCTTTTGAAAGTTGAGATGTTGGTCATATAATTAGAGTTTATCCTGTGCTCTTTTCAAGTCATGAAAGGGAGGAGTCTCTCTACAGGTTAAGGAATCACCTAGAACAGGGTGAGGTACACACACATACACACACACAGTGTGGCCCAGACAGACAGAATCTTTCAGTTTAATTTACCTGTGTCCACATGGCCTGAGTTCTGTGTCTGCTATCTCATCACAGCAAAGCGTGCAGCAGTTCTCTCGGATGCTCACTTGCTTCAACAAGGCCAGACGTCTATGTCTGAAGAAATACAATATGCACACGCACGCACAAATACTTATGAAGTGATTTTTTCTGGCTTGAATGTAGTTAAGTGATCAGAGTACTGAATGTAGACCATGTATACATATATAATTCCTGACAATTATTGACCACAGTTGTTTCACATCACTTAAAAACAAAATCAGAAAAAAAAAAGTAAACAAGGAGAATCATTATTTGGAAGTCTTTGCCCTTCACTGCATTCTGGCCTATGCAGTAGAGAAGGATAAGAGGGGAGGTTAGACTAAATCAGGGTTTCTCAACTTTTTGCACCTTACATCCCACCTACGCAAGGTCAAAAAAACCTGGTCCCACCAGTCAACAAGCGGGGGAGGTGGGGGGTGTCCCCCAGAGGCCAGTTGAAAAGTGGGGAGGGGAGGAACTAGCAGCCAATTGAAGCAAGCAAAAGCAAAACTGGAAATCCAGCCATGGCACTTCTAGTTTCGCCACTACAACCTGAGTCCCACCTAGAGAACCTTCACGTCCCACCAGTGGGACATGTCCCACTGGTTGAGATACCCTGGACTGATTGACTTAACTGGTCTTTTGCTTTCTGTTTCCTCCAGTTTGTAAAACCTGAATGCTTCTAAAGGAAACTCATTTAATTTGATAAGTCACCTGGCAGAAACAGGACTTTTTAAAATCCTCAGAGTCCACAGAGATTCAGAGCCCATATCATGCTGCAAGATGGGTTACAAGAACAAACAACCCAAGGAAGTCTAGCGAGAATGGAAAGGAGAGTATAGGGGGTAGGAGCAAAAGGAAGATCCCAAAACAAGGTCAAAACAGGCAGAAGAGCCACATACAAATGGCACTGACACCAAGAAAAAATAGTTTTACTCTTAATACTATGAAACTCAGGTGATAAATCAACAAACTATTAGCTTCTGTCAAGAAAACTTGTATGTAGTTGGAGGGACCTCCTACAGCATAGCAAAGAAAAAAATACTGTATCTTTTTATCAGTACATCTGGAATGTACACTAGAAAAGCTGAAAAGGAAAAATAGCCAACCTCCTCCCCTACTCACATAACATAAATATGTCTACAGTCTCACTGAAGTTCAGTGCAACTCTCTGCAGGAGTCTGTCATAGCTGGTACAATGTATACTTAGGCCCTTAGCCCTCTACCCTCCTCACCCTCTGCATCTCAAATTGCAGGTCAGTACCAGGTCTCAATACCTAATGGTAGCTACAGGTACCCAATAGACGTGAACTGATATATTGGTGCCATGTTGGATCTGCACCCATAAAAGGAAAATTAACATTATCGGCTTTTTCTGGCCAGTGTAGCCAATAATGTCACTGATAAATATCATATGCTTTCTAACAACCACAGTATGCATATGACCAGGAATGCAGCCAGGCAGTGTAGACAGCAGCACCCTGCAGGTAAGTCTGTGGAGGAGAAAGAGTGGGGGAGTAGATTGAGGCCCCCTTGGTGAGGGAGGAAGTGGGGCAGGGACAGGGGCTGGGGGTATTGCCCAGCCTGGGGCTGGTGTGGGGAGTGGGATGGAGCCATGGGCAGCTCATCCAGGGGAATCAGCGTTCACTCCCAGGGCAAAGGCAGCAGGGCAGAGAGCCCCGAATCTGCAGTGGGCAGCCTGGACCCACCCTGCTTGGCTCCTAAAAGCATCTCCACACTTAAAAATGGTGGCGGCTCCATTTGAACTAAAGCTCATTTGACAAGCTTTAGTTTAAGCACCCCCATCACCATTTTTAAGTGCCAGAATGCTGATCTCCTGGACGAGCTTCCTGCAGCTCCATCCTGCTGCCTGTCCTGGTGCTGGGGTCCCAATCACCACCCTGGCTGGGCAGTACCCCCAGACCCTGCCACACTCCCTCACCGTGGGGGCCTCAATCTGCCCCCTGCCAAAGACTTACATGCAAGGCTCTGTTCTCCACGCTGCCTGGCTGTGCTCCTGTAAATTGGTTATTGAATTGGTATCAGCCAGTATGCCTGGTGAATAATCAACTACCAGTATCGGCCAAGAAAATCTTTATCAGTGCACCCCTGGTACCCAAGTCCCTCCAAAAAACACCAGGCTACTTTCACTCACATATTTCAATATGGTTTTGATGTCCATCTTTAAAGCAAAATTTTAATCTTTGGTGCTGATGTACTTTGACCAAGATTACGCAGTTAAGTGGAAAAATAAGGATCACTGGATGCTGGGATCATTGTCCTATGCTCCAGCTGCTTAGTACCTACATCTGGAATTAGACATGACTTTTCCTTTTTTCTTTTCTTTTTTTTGACAAAAGTGCAGAAATTTATGCTGGCCCAACACAAATCTTAAAACTGTTCATAAGCTTTGAATTGCCAGGCCATCCAACTACATCTCTCCTTCGAAACATCATTCATAGAGGAGGTATTTTTATTCAGAGAACAGTAAATTACAGCTTTAAATCACTTGCAAAGTGTTTCAAGTGCTGATAGTGTCACAAATTAGGTCATTTTTAAAATAAGACTCCAATTTTTAACAGAAGAAAAACAATTTTAACTAACGTCAAAGACCATGCACGTATGGTAAAAAGCCTTTTTAACTATATGTAGTTAAAAAAAAACAAACAAACTACTGTGCTCAGTTTAAAAACTGAGGACAATTTAAGTTCAATGGCCAGAGCAAGAAAAATAGGGCCAAGTTTAGCACTTACATTCATGCCAAATCACTTTGCTGAACTGGGGCCTAAAAGTCTAGCCCTTATTGGAAAGACACATTAATGCCATTCAGAAGCGATCCCTTATAAAGAGAAAACTTGTATAGTGTCAGACAATTTAAACTAGCAACTGAACATATGCTGTTCAAACCTAAATGGCTGGTATAAAGTGTTCTAAACAAGTAGAAAGATTACCTTGGTAAAATTATTTTCTCTTCCACTGTCAGGAAGGCATAATCATTAAAGGTGCTAAATCTGACTGATGGTGGATACTTGAAAGGTTTTGCTCCAAAATTGAACTCACACTGTTGATAGGACATAAAACTTGCTGCAGCAAAAAAGCCAGATCTGCATTTTGAAATACAAAAGGAATATCTCAGGATCACGTTAGAAAGCAACAATAAAGAACATACTGACTGTAGCACTTTTATTACTACATAAAATACAGCCCACCATGAGACAAAAGAACAATTTTCCTGACGCTGTAATCAAAGTCAGAGCTAATTGAGAGGGAAATTCCTAGGAACCCAATTTTAGCTGCACAGAACTCCTGGTTTGAGTCTTCACTTCTGAATCTAAGAGATGAACCAAGCCTGCTGCCACAATATGCCAAAGCTTGTACAGGCTACACCTCGGGAGTATGTGTACCCATGTTAAAGGCTAATACAGTACATACACCCAAACAAACAAGAACTATTCTCTACCCTGTTTTTCCCAACCAGCTCTGATCTATTGGCCCACAACTCAGCATTTGGACAAGAGTAATTATTTTTTGTCGAGTACGGCAGCTAGAGGTTGGCATTTTGAGGAACAGGATAAGGAAGTCCATACATATTATCACTATTTCATCTCCTTACTTGCTAAGGTACAAACATGGGGAGCAGAGGGCAAGTTATGAGCATGTATGCAGCATACAACCTAGGCAACATGTGAACTCTTGGCTCTGCACCTTCTTAGTACTACTTCCATAGGGTAAAATCCATCAATTTCTTCTAGTGTTTGCTGGCTAAGCCCTTAGAAGCTATACCTTTTTCTCAAAGATATCCAACAAAGCTTCCCAACCCCCACACCCCTTTTAGTTTTATCCAACAGAAAGTACTCCCTTCTTCAAATTTTAAATCCTAAAAGGATCTAGGAAAGTGTTTTAATACAATCACATTAAAAATACAAATAAAGCCACAATATTGCATACCATGTTTTGCAATTTGCCAACATTCAAAAATCAAAAGCTACAATATTACAGGAAGTATTCTGCAATTTGCCAAAATTGCATTTTTCTTGCCTTTAGAACTTAGTTTAGCAGGGAAGAGAGGTGGGCAAGGACTGTGCATGAATAGCAGCACACTTAAGGCACAGAGTCTTGAAACACTGGTTCTCCACAGTTTTAAGAGGGAGCTCTATTTAATAATACATGGCATCTGGGGCCAGTAAATATAATTTCAAATTTTTAAAAGCAAGAATATTTTCCCTGTAATTCATGGAAGCCATTATCCAGATGGCATATTCATTCTTGCCTTTCAACACACACACTTACATAGCAGATGAGAACACTTGTTCTTCAGCTGGAAGCTGGTTTCCATTTAAATAGAAGATCATTTGCTTTTCTTGTAAATCTAGTAGAAATCCAATTGTGTCTCCTTATATGCAGAACACAAAAATGTTTTAGGATCAAGTCTCAGATATTTATGGCTTTAAACAAATAAACACAATTATGAGTTGAAGATACTTTTGCAGAAATGTTAAGCACTCCCTATGAGTAACTTGGCAAAGGAAACTACTATTTGAGCTCTCAGGAAGGAGAGGACTTACTTGGCAGAGTAAAAGGGATATAACTAGGAGGGAATGGGATGAAATTAAGGAAAGCAAGTTTAGGTTGAATTGCATTAAAAGCTATAGAGGTATAAACCATGTAATCTCAAGCACTCAACATTTAGCAAAAGCTAGAATTAAGTTCCCCCCCACCCCTTCCAATTTCTTCCTGGCTTGAGCATGCCCAATTCAAGCAGTCTTAGAACACAGCAGCTACGTTCTTGAACAGAAGTCCCGACCAAACATACACAAATTGATTTTTAAAGAGACTTACAATTTAGCCAAATTTGGGCAGGTTCTTATGAGAACTGCAAAAGGCAACCTGTTGTCAAAAAACACCACCTTCTCCGCACTAAATTTCAAGGCCCAGCTCCAGAGAACAAGGAAGCAGAGTGCTTTCAAAGAAACAAAGTTGCCACGGGGGGGCGGGGGCCTCAATAATAATTTTTCTTCCCTAAATATGGTGTCCTAAACAAATTAATCCTTTTTGCTGAAACAAAGTGGTTTCAATCTGAGACAGACACGTGCATGAACAATTTCAGCCTGAATGGTTTAAAGGCTGGCAAGATTATAAGATGCTGAAAACTGGGTCTTTTGACAGGAAGTGTCAGGCATCTCAGCTCTAAGGAGCGCTACTTAGCTGTGTCTAGAAAGCTGATGAGAAAAAAATTCCAACAGCAAGATCTTTTAAGTGGCAGAATGCCTCCCACAGAAGTAGTGGATTGTCTCGATACATTTAAAAGACTAGGCAAAACACTAAATGTCCAGTAACTAATAAACCTTCAGTGGTAAGAAATTAACAGTGGGGAGGGGCCAACCTTTTTGATACGCGTGCCATGAATTATCCCCACACTCTCCTAAGTGCCACTTCTATCTCCATCTCTGCTGCTCTACTTTCTGGTTTATCTGCTGCTGTGCTACCTGTCTCCTACTGGGTCCATTGCATGCCACACAAAAGTTGCATGTGCCATTTGTGGCACATGTGCTGCAGGCTGGCCACCCCTGAACTAGACTGACTTCATTTACACAGTCTGTGTAGAATACTGCTTGCACAAGTATTCTAGCATGAGTTCTGTGGAGAAAGCAAGCTAGGACAGCTGCTACAAGCTGGAGAGAATACCTTCTTTCCAACACGGGTGGGAATGCGGTTTACTTCTGGCATTATACCAAATCAGCTGCCGGCAGCCGTCATATGCGCAGGAGTACTCGTCGTCCCCAATACCATAACCTTCCTTTAGAAAAACAAAGCATAGCATTTCAATCTGCAGCCTCTCTTTTTGTGGGAAAGGGCTGGAAGCCTATTCATATAGAAGCAAAGCATCCATTCTAAGAATATTATTGTTTAAAAGATTTTCTACTTAGTCTCATACACAAGTCAGCTTCTCTCTCCTTTACCTTTCTAAATGGGGAAAAAAGTATCAAATCTCCATTAGGTCATTTATCCCACTCTCCCAGCTTCCGTTGGAAAAAAAAGAAAAAAATACACTTTCAAGGTCAAAGGGGTTTCACTCGCTGAAAACAACTGTTCGTCAATATAATACTCATGAAAAATGAAGGAGCTGCATTAAACTGAACTGATTATAGAACAAGTAGGTGCCAGGTGAGCTTCCCCCCTCATGCTGACCTACATTCTGCAAATTACTTGATAACAACAATCTATCCAGCATGTGTATTTTATATATGAGCATAAACAAGAGCTTCAGAGGATGATAAGACAATGGTTCTTTAAGAAATTATTGTACTCTTGCTCACCCGTGTATTGAAATATTTCCCATGTCAGAGGGAGTGTGGCCTACTGGCTAGAAAATGTGGGGCGGAAAATTTTCCAAACCAGAAAAGTTTCCAGTGCTTTATTTTTCCATGGGAAATTTTCCATTTCTAAAGATTCGTTGTTTCATAAAATTCATTAGTAACAATGAATGAATGCCAATACAAAATTAGGCAAGCTTGGCAGTTTCAAAGTGTAATTAATGTTTTTCAGGTGATTATCCCTAGGAAGCACACGAGAGAGAGAATACATGTATGTACTATTGATTTGTAAACAGGAGGGCAAATACACTCACATAATAATCCAAACCAAAAATCAAGCTATGAAGTCACCTAAATTGGCTGTGCAGGTCAAATCAAAACTGAAGATGAAATAAACATTTTAGCTAAGTGCTTGCATAAGAGCTGTTAGTTTTTGGTTTGTGCTTTTTGTTTGAAGTAGTCATAATAATGCCTAATCAAAAAAAAAATAGTGTGTGGCATCATTATAGTGAAGTTCAAGCAACTGAAGGAAGGAAGAAAGCTGGTAGATGTAAATATTGTGGGCAGAAAAAGGAGTACGTTAATAATACAACAAGAATGAAGAAACATTTAACATGTAGAAACTATCCTGAAAGAGTACAAGCCATATGCAGAAAGCTAATACAACAAAAAGTGGTGGAACAACATCATCTGAGAAAAGTCTACTTCAGGAATCTTATGTAAGTAAACAAATTAATATATTAAACAACACACAGTATAGACTAGCATCTATATTGTTTTAAAACGTTATAATTTTAAAAGCTGTTAATGCAACTCTGGACTATTATTTATTTAAAATATTTGTATCCTGCTTTTCTGTTTGCACTAAGCACCCAGAGTGGCTTAGGTTTAACAATGTATATTTTTAAAATTACATAATAGATAAATAGTTAACTATTTCAACGCAGCAGAACAAACTTAGACCTCTGGCTGATGACAGAGGCCAGACTATACTTCCCTTTGGCTCTGCAGTCCCAAGGCAACTGAGCAGAAAGTTGAGCAGCAGAGTGTTCTTTTTGCAAGGAGGGGGGAAGCAAGCTCCCTGCCACTTCTTTTCCTTCTGATGGATGAGACCAGACTAGAATAGGCTAAAATAAAAATCTTTTCCCCCTTTTGTTGCAGGAACTTGGTAGCTCAAGTGAAATAGCAGATTACAATGGACAATGAAAACGCTGAGCTGCCAGGTCTGGGGGAAGAAGCAGCAGGATCCTCACTTTCAAGATCACTGCCACCAGATATGCAATCTACCATGAGTAGCTGTTCTAGACAGTCAAGCTTTTTAAATCAAGCTTTGTAGACAAAATGTCAAAAGAATCAAGAAAAAGCAGATGAGATATTAGCTTGAGCTATATTTGCAAGTGGTACACCTCTTTCCATAACTGAAAATCAATACTGGAAGGAACATTACAAACTAATTCGCCCATCATATAAGTTACCGTCACGTTATCACTTATCTCATTCTCTCTTAGACAGAGAGTATGACAGAGTTCAAACAATGGTTATTCAAAGGATTGGTCAAGCAGAATCACTGACTCTGATGTCAGATTTATGCACTGATATAATAATCCTTTATTGAACATTATGATAGCAACACCATGACCTGAACCGATACAGTGGAGTCGCATCTTACACGGGGGTTAGGTTCTTAAGTCAGCGTGTAAGGCGAAAATCGCATATAGTCAAAATTAATTAAACACTAGGATCACACTCAGCACAGCGAGATGCTCACACTATGAGAGGCACGTGGGAACAGCAGATTCATGTCTCCCACCTCACGCTCACTCCAGGGCATATGCTCATTGAGTGGAATGGCGGGCAGAATCGCTCGCACTATTTAAATTGTTAGTTTTCTCTTTTTTTTTTTTCCAAGCACGTATAGTTGAATTTGCATAAGTTAAATGTGCGTATGACATGACTCCACTGTATTCCTGAAAGCAATTGCTACCAAATCTTCTCGTCATACAGGTGAATACATAGTTAAATTACCGAGTGAAGAGATTGAAAGTGCAGGTCCCCCCAGGGTACAAGCCCTTGTAACTGATAATGCATGGCAAATATTAAAGACAAAGTATCCTCATTTAATAGCATTAGGCTGTCTTGCTCATGGATTGAACCTTCTGGCAAAGGGCATAGTAATTTTGAATACAATGAAGACAATATTGGCAAACTGCAAAGCGATTGTGAAGGTATTCAACAATCATCATGCTGCTAATCAGGCTTTGAAGAAATTACAGAAAGAGAAGCAGGGGAAGGAAAGTGCACTTTTACTGCCAGAAGCAACTAGATGGGGCTCAGCTACAAAGTGTTCACATAGCTTGCTGTGCACCAAGAACTGTATGCAGTGTGCTTCAACAGATACATACAGTATCCCAGATTACTCCCATGAACATTCAGAAGCAGATTTTTGACAATGCTGTGTTCTGGGTTTGAGTTCAAGGAGCATTCTGTTTGCTACTACCAGTTTCAGTGGCTATCAAGAAACTTGAAGGAGATGCACCAAGCCTTTCAAATATTCCAGAGATATTCGGACAAATGAATGAGCAGACAACTCAATCTAATTGGGCTTTTGCCTTCTTCACCTCTATCCAAAAAAGTAGTAGTAAAACAAATGCTTACTAAGAGATCTGAGTTTTGCTCTCTGTTGCAGGGCACGAAGGTGCCTGCTCCTTTAAGGGCAGAAAACTGTGTAGAGAGAGGGCCCTAGCAGCCAGGCAAAGACCCCACAGGTGCAGGCTACTGTGGCAGCAGGCTAATGAAGGAATTAGCCTGCATCTGCACCCGGTCAGCTGACTGGAAGAAGGCAGAGCCCTGGGCACATATAAACCCCAGGGCTGGGACTTGGGGATTAATTCTCTGGCATCAGCCGAGGGGGAAGAAGCTCTCATAAGGGAAGCTACTTGGAGCTGCTTGACTGCCTGTGCTGATGCTGGTAGGATTAAGGGGCTATAAGAGCTCATAAGTGCTGGTGGGGAGGATGCCCATTAAACAGAGAGAAGTTTGCCTTCTTAAAAGGGAGAGAGTGTGGACCCTATGTTATTGTCATGTTGTAGCCCAGGGGGTTGTTCTTTCTGTTGTCATTTAAACTGGCGGACTGAGCTGAGGAAATTAGGGAGGAGGCGGCCTCATTGAGGCACACTACATTGTGGAGACCCCAACTCCAGAGGGGGTGCAGTGACAAAAGCTGCAGCAAGCCCAGTGCCTGAGGGGGCAGTTACTGAGGCTGAACTAAATTGAGGCCTCAACATGAGAAGATGTTGTCTACATGCCATCTGTGAGACATGGAGCGTGATAATGGGACGGTTTGGAGTCATGCCCATAAGGCACTTCCTGAGTGTGGGACCCAATAAGGGGTGCAACAACCCACAGGGTTTAGAGGAGTCTGCCAGGACTGTGACCAAGCGGCAACTTGAGGGCAGCCTCCCGATTCATCATTTATGAAGACGTAGCAGGCGAGATTAGTAGGTGCCCATAGGGCGAAGCCGGCATGGTCACGGTGCCCTAGGGATATCATGGCCATCCCTGGGGAGGCCATATCGTGACATTCTCATCCAGTTCATCTGACAGCAAACCTTTTGGATCCCTCAACACAGAGGACAACATTTATCAGAAGATGAATTATCTACTGCTCTTCATACAATTATGGAAATAGTTAAGGATGTCCCTAACATTAACAAAGTAGCCGTGATAACAGACATTGCCGAGTACCATGCAAAAGAAAAACTTTGGAGCAAAAATGTCATTTGGCAGGCAGCAGAAAATAGGTCTCCACTCACATGCTGAAAGGGATACTGTCCAGGATTGCTCTAAGGATCCTAAGCACTCCACCAACAGCAGCTTCTTGTGAATGGAACTGGAAGGCTTTCAGCTCAATCAAGACAAAAAAGAGGAACAGACTAACAAATGAACACACTGCCAAGCTTGTTTTTATTTTTCAAAATTGTTTGCTTCTGGAGAATCAATCAGAAACACAATTAGTGAAGAAGATGCAGTGTGATGATAAGTTGCCCTTGCCCACAGACTCATTGGTAAGACCATCCTTTAGCGAAAGAGAATGTAATTCAAGTAGTTCTGAATCAAATTTGCCTTAATCTGACTCTGAAATGGAACTAATAAATAGTGCAAGTGATTCTACAGATAGTGAAACGGGAGGTGTGCAATGACCTCAGTGGAAGATAGTTAAACTCTGTTGAAGCAGATGAATGGATAACCATGGCATATCATGCACAGTTCTTTGGGTGTGCTAAACTTAGTGTGTCAGTATCTTCATTTTTCTTCTTAAACAATGTAAGGGAAGTACATGCTATTGTGCACTGTCTTTACATTTTTACAAGTATTCCAATAAAAATAATTTCTTTCCATATAACACTTCGAATTTGCTTAAATATAACATTTAAACCACATTAAGTGTGCTGTATTTAATTTTTTTTCCCTAATCAAATATTTCAGTTCAAATACTTGTGGCTATTGGGACATAAAATTAAAATGGGGGTACTTTTTAAATTTTGTTTACTAAATATAAAAGTCAAATAAACATGCTAAACCAGATCATGCTCTATTTAGGGCACTGGAAATTTTCTAATTCAAAATTTTCCAGAAAACCCACATCTCTGCTACTGGCCAGGAGTTATGGGGTTTATGATTTGCCACTGAGTTAGAAAGACATTGGCAAGTTCAGTTGCAAGGTGTGTTTCTCCACACTGAGACAAGAAAATCCTTTCACCACCTATATGAAGAAAAGTTACTGTCTGCAAACTGTTCAGAGCTTCTTCAATGAAGGGCTCTATAGTCTATTTTATATTTTACAATAAAACAAGTTACCTAAAAAGAAACATTTACTTTATGTACACAAGTCATCTCTAAGCTCCAAAAAGTACACTCAAATTCAAGAGAACTGACAAAGTAAGAAGAAAATGTGTATTAACCATTATTTTCAGGTAAAGAAGTGGTCACAAGCAACAAATTTGTAGGAAAAACCCAAACCCTGGTCTCACATTCAAGGTATCAGGAATATACCATAAACAAAGGAATTCCCAGTCTCCTCACTAAGCTCAACTGGGAGAGCAGTCAATTAAATAAGTATACCCTCTGAAGGTGCGTGCAAACTACTTCTACTGGCTGATACTGCACAACCAATTAGTTTGGAGAAGAACAGTTCCCCCCCCATAGGTCTGAATGCTGTCAAAGCAGCTAATGTTTCTAACCAGCAAGTCTCCAATGTCCCCAATTATAGCTCATTAATTCAGATAATGAATTTAAAATATTTAAGTGATAAATAACCCTAAATAGTTCTCACACTATGCAAATAAAAATCACATGACTCCATTTGAACTGGCTAACAAACAATCTTGCCATGATATGTTTAAAAAAAAAACCAGGAGTAATTTCATTCACTAAAGAAAAACCCTTATAAATAGAAAGAATTACAGCAAAATGTAGCCAAAGAAAAAATAGTAATTGCAACAATGTAACCATCATCAAGCCCTTAAATAGAGACATTATCTCAGCCATCCTCACTTAGGAAGCACATGGGATATAAAAAAAACTCAAACATGCAAAAAAAAACTACTTGCAGAGTGAGCGGGTAAAAAAAATGCATAAGGCGAAAAGTGAATGTGGAATTACATGAGTGACTAGAATGGAGTGAAACAGCAAAAACATTAACAAAAACTTTAACAAGAGGGGAAGACATCTCCTTTATCCTTCTTGCATCATTCTGCTAGCTTTCCTACTTTACCTTCTCTTCCATTTCCTTACACTTTTCACCTGGCAATGCCAACACCTCTCAATTTGGCCTACATGTTCATCAAGTCTGTATTTGAAACAGCCCTGAAGAAGACTTTTGACAAACTGGAATTCACCAGCCGCAGAATAGTCCCGAAGACCCCACACATCCTGTGCCTATTGGAGTCAACAGACTCAGGATTGGGCCATAAATTCCTACTGGACCAGTAATGGGACAGCTACAAAGCTGAACTTTCAGATGCTGGGATAAATTTGCAAGGCTGGCAACTGGAAAAGTCATCCCTGTGTGTAAATTAAAAGTCATGCGACTTCACAATTTTTGTTTTTATAATGATTTCTAGTCTCTTACAAAAGTAGTGTTCAATTTAAGAATACAAATGTGAGATTTTTTTTTTAAAGCTTCCAAGGTAACCTTTACATTCCCCTCCTTTATTTCAACAAATATTTTACAGTGTATTTGGGTTTACAATCGCTGTACAAAAAATACTATCAAATTTGCAAACCCAGATGCTAAAATTTGCTTTGCCAGCCCTTTACCATAAGGATAAATGAAAAACAAAATACACACTTCACTTAACTCATGGAAAAAAAAATTACTTGCAATCTGCAAGTATAATTTTTCAAAGCTAGTTTAATGGCCAAAAAGGTAACTGACAAGACATACTCAAGATTTAAGAATGAAATCACCAGTAATTTTAATACTAATGAAAACATCAAGTGACATTCATGTTAATTTTTGTGACACTCAATTTGGGCCTGATCTGGCAGTTTTGATGACTGCTAAAACAGTTTGATTTTTTTGGTAGGAGCAAGGGAAGAGGAGACGTTTAGCATGCTATTTCCACATATATACTTTTCTGTTGGAAATCAAGTCTTTCCTGCCACAAAAAGGGAGAGCTTGCCATTTCTTCACCAGGCTGCAGTAGTGAGCAATGTTAAAAACAGAGCTTTCATTTTCCACTGGCGTCAATTTAGTCCGTTTCAGTGGAAAAATGTACAGTTAGCACCTCAGAATGGGCCTGATGCAAGTTGTTATACTCTAGTCATAGAAAATGCAAGTTATTTATATTGGCACCTTTCACCATAACTTAACTACCTAGGAAATGGAAAAGATCCCCATCATATTTGTTGTCTTTAAAGCTGTCCTTTATCCTACGTTTGCACATATTAGTGTTTGCATAGAATATACTTTTTTAAAAGTACACACATCTAAGCACTAAGAATGTGTATCATGTTAACCAAACAGAGAAAATGTAACATGGAAGGAAGGTAGATTTTATGGAAGTCAGGAGGAAGATGGAAGGTTACTAAACTGGCAAACAGCTCAATCTACTTCAATTCTTGCTTTGACTAATGCTCATAAAATGCCATTGTTGGCACCAGAGTGAAAGAGATTAAGGTACACAGAAGAAAGTTGCATTGATTAAAGCGGTATAGTTGAATGGTCTGTGCTCCTATCATGTGGAGGAGGAGAAGTTAAACAGAATCTAAATTGCAGTTTAGCTTTACTTACAGATAGACTGCAGAGGAAAGACAGAATGAGTGTGCATCAGTTGATCCATGAAACTCTTATCCTGCCATAAGTGAAGCTGAACTGCAGTGGCTTACCCTTGCTTCATTCAGGGCCCCAAAGCCACAATTCAACTTCTGCTTACCGAGGACAGAAGCAGACAAGACAAAAGAGGCTCCTGAGGGTAAGCTTCCCTCTTCTTTAAAACAACGTCATTTTACATGCATCTATGCCCTGAGAAAGCTCAGGGATGCTAGCTTCTTTACAGTTTAGAAAACCCTTATTTTCTAGTCATCAAAAATGTAATAGTAGAATAGTCTATGAAAAGCCGTCTAATGGCTGCTTGATGGCCTAAATAGAGAGTGGATGATAGGCATGTATTTACTTCACAAAGAAACACCAAAACTGGCAGTGACCCTTACCCTGCAGTCAGAGTAGAAATGCCAAGAACTGTTCATAAGATGATATTCACTACCTTCCTACCTCTGCCGATCAGGGTTGAGGTACACTATTGTGCAGGTGTGAAGAACTGTCAGTGTTGTTGGCTGTGCTATGCAATATGGGCAATGCCAATTTATAGTATTGTCAAACCATCACTTTTATTGTTTCACTAACTTCACTAAGAATAACCATTCAGAACTCGGAAAAAAGAGATGAAGTTTCACATGTTTAACATACTGTTTATTTAAACATAAATGTAAAAAAAAAAGTTATCTGCATAGACATTGCACCCAAAGAGAAAGGTAACAGAATTACATAATCTGCTGCATGATCTTACAGGTACTCACATGATTGAGAAATTTGCTATCTTTGGTGGCCCATCCTATCTGCATCACTCCGGAAGTGATTACTTTGACTTCATAGTACCAAATTCCAGAATCAACACAGAATGTACATCGCACACTTTCAAAAGATGAGGCATCACATCGAGCCTGACAAAACCAAAGTGGAAATCACATTTAAGTAATAGTGGACATTCACAACATCATACAAGAAAAAAATTTAAGAGATCTTCAACTTCAGTCTAACTGCAGCCCTCCTCATTCGCAATGAATGGCCATGTAACAGCTCTCATTAGAATCGCATTAGCAGTGGATAAAATTGAAGGCAGCCCCAGAAAAGAACAACAGGAGTGATCAGGGGTTTGATAACATCTATTTAAAGATTTAAAAAGGACAAAGGGGAGAACCCAATATATAAACAAGCCATTGGGCATAAATACTAAGGAGGAGAAGAAATTTAGCGTCACATGGAATAACATTTAGAAAAGGAACTTTAAGCCTGAATATCAGGGCAAAATTCTCTGTAGAAATGGAAACACCACAGCTTTTGGCTTTTATATTAAACAGGGAAAGAACCAACAGAAAATTAAGTTTAAAGAATAATTCTGTACAAGACAGGGAAATGGTCAGTTGGGTCCAAAGAATTTCTTTGAACTTCCAGGACTTAGACAAGGATAGTGTATTACAGTGATACTTTCTGGTACTGAAAGCAGGTTAATGATATTAAAGGCGATTAACAAAGCAGATTTTCTTCACTAGTTTGAGGCAAGCTTTGAAATATCGCCTTGCTGATCCTTGGAAGAAAAAATGGGAACAAAGAGAAAAAACTGAAATGGATGAATCTTCAAGTGGAATTTCACATTAAATCAAGATATAGCCTACCTCCAGTCCATGTGGTGAGATCTTAAGGTATTCACTGACATCATTACTATTCAGCATTGCCCTAATATTGGTCAAGTCAACCTTCTCATATGTAAACTCTCTGCCTTCTTTTAAAACTGTAGAAGAAAAATAGTATACTTTGAAAAGTGCTATGGCAGTAACAATTCAAATCCAATTATTCCATCCCACTGAAGAGCTACACTTTAAGAAACCAATTCACTCGACAGATTTTACTGCAGCTTTGGCAGTGGACTGGCCTAAATGCAATATCATTCCCAGTGGCACCCCACTGGGTGCTAAATGTTTTCTGAACAATCAAGGACAGTCCCTGCTTCTGAAAACATAGTCCTACTGGGTAACTGCTCCTCTCAAGGAACCTCAAATGCTACAGGGACTGGAACACACAAGAACCCAGCTATGAAATTCCCATAGACACCAATCTCCACATCCATTTCACACTTACTCAAAAACCTCAGGTGTAGCATTTACCCCATGTTATTATGAATTATATACTGGTTGTTAACCATCCCAGAAACGCGATCAGGAGACTGCAGAATGCCAGGACTGCATAGACCAAGGAAATGTAAATCACAGTACTGCTATTATGCTATGCATGCCATAGAAACTGCTCTCTAGCTTTTCCTCCAAATCATTCCCCTTCACACAGGAGAAAAGGAGATGCACTTAGCACAGGGGTGGACAATTATTTTGGGCAGAGAACCACTTACTGAGTTTTGGCAAGCCATTGAGGGCTGCATAATAGGCAGCCAGGGGCAGATAAATATTCATTTTCTAAATTTTTTAGGGGCCCTGCGGGCTGGATAGAATGGCCTAGCGGGCTGCATCCAGACCCCAGGCTGCATTTTGCCCACCCCTGACTTACCCTGACAGGTTGTGACATTAACATGAAAGTGATAATTTACAAAATACAAGTCTTCAGGGAGCATAATATATATACCCCAGACTCTTTATAATGCAACTTATTGATGTTGGCCTAACACAAAAGCAAGATAAGCCACTGTCTAAGGTCAGCCAAGTAATTTTACCTTTTTATCCCAGTGCCTAAACAAAGGCAGATCATTTCTGGGATCTTACAACTCGGGAAGTCACAATTTTGGGCCCACTAATTATCATACCAGGCCACTTACAACACAATGGCATGCCAGAGAGCTATTCTAGTTATTCTTCATTTGTTTCTTAATTATGATAATCCATCATAGCTGTTGCAGGGGGTTCTGTGTGCATATGTGAGCACACACATGCATGCAGCAGCCAGGCAGCAGCTCCCATACCTCCCTCCAGGTAAATCTATGGGGGGTGGGGGGGAGAGGAGGCACAGGCAACACATCAGGGGGGCAGGATGTGGGGGGGGGCACATGTGACGCATGGGAGGCACGTTTCCCCCTCACATTTCTGTGTCCACAGCAGGGTGCGGGGCTGCAGCTGGGCTGGATCAGCTCTGGGAAGGAGCCACCTCTAGAGCTTGGCAGATGAGACCTGGCCCAGGAGGGAGTGTCATGCTCCTTTGGCCGCCAAGTTGAGGTGCCACCACTGCAGCCCTGCACCTCACTGTGGGTGCAGGAATCTGGGAGGCACATGCTCCCCCACTCCCTTGATGCTTGCCTGTCCCCTCCCCGTGCCCCCATGTGTCCATACCCCCACTTCCCACACACCCACCCTCTTTTGTACACTGGGGGGCAGGGGGCAGCAGGTTGGGAGTGAGAGGCACCAGCAGGGCAGGAGGGGTGGGGGTGGGGATTGCGAGTGAGGGGCAATGGCATGGGAATTAGCAGGGGCAGGGCACCAGTATATCAGGGCTGCTCAGTGTCACAAAGCAGCTGGGGGGGAGGGGGCAGGGTGGTGGCATGCAGCTGGACCCATGTCCTCATGTTTGAAGGCAGCAGGGGGAGCTCTGATTTTCCATGATAAAAACCAAACAAACAAAAAAATGAAACAGCAAAATATACAGATATTTAGAATTTACTTTATTATAATATTTGAGGCACTGGTAGGCTTCCAAATGGCTTTAAAATTGTAAATATATCAATAAAACACTGTACTCAACTGATACCTATATACATCTATGCGCGCGCACACACTCCTGGCGTTTCATTTTAATCATGGAAAAAAGCAGATTTTGGGGTTTAACCAGAGAATGAATGTATTCACCTTACTTCTGAGTGCAATTACATATGCAACTGAGATTTATATATACAAATATGACCAGCTAGATTACTAAATGTTTGTACTAAACATGGTATGTCTGTACCCCAAATACAGATGCAACTCCCAACTGTCTAGAAGAAATTAATCCATGCCCCTGCTACTTATACTTACATAGATTGTCTAAACTCCACTGGGCACAGAATCCAACTTGGCGTTTTAAATAATCTGGATTATCTGTCCATTTCTCTAACAAGTCAAGCTGGTTGCTAATACAGGATTCAGAAATGGTCATTTTATTTTCACCTGTGATTTAAAAGTGAAAAAAGAACAGGTAGTTCAAGAACATAAGACAAAAGGACTTAAGACTATTGTACATGTATTTGTTTTCTTAATCTCAGTATTATAAAGTGTAGTACCTCCTTCCCACCAATTTTTAACAGCAGGACAATACCATGTAGTGTTCAAATATTTTACACTTCATTGCAATAGCCATGCTCTACAGTGACTATTAGCCAGGAAAAACAAAACTTCAATTCTATTAACAGGAGATTTTTTTTCCCCACAGTCACTGAAGGGCCTTGAAAAATCTCTTTAACCTTACAAAGTTTCTTAAGGAATAATTTTTTCTCTAGCTGAGGAAATCTAAACATTTTTTCTACCTTCCTTCCAGAGGCACTGGGGTCATTCCAGCAACAGTCTCTTCCTGCTCCTGAGTGCCTAGGGCTGTGCAAAATGCCTGCGTTTCGTTTCAGTTTCAGATTCAGTGCTTTGGAGGGATAGTGTTTTGTTTCGATGTTTCATAAGGCTGTCCAAAACTGCTGTGTTTTGTTTAGTTTCAGAGTCAGTGTGTGACAGGGCAGCTCTCGGGGCCAGATTTCCTGCCAGCCCGCCCTTCTGTCTCTATGGGGCAGTTCGCCCAGTCTCACCTGCCACAACTTTGCTGTTCTCATAAACTGATAGTATACCGTGGGAAGCTGCCCATTACTGCCCCGATGCCAGGCAGCATTATCTGCGGCTCCAACCTCCCCTACACCACAGTCCATGCCTCGCAGATGGCATCAACATTTTTAGCATCTCTGGCCCCACACTGGGCCCCATGATCCTCTAATCTGGACCCCAGCTGGATCCCTCCCATCAGGTGGCCTACTCTGCCCTTGTTCTGGGCTACCTAGCTCCCTGTACTCTTCCCCCTCTTGAGCATGGCCCCTCCGGGACCTTTGGCCACACAGGCGCTGGCCTTACCTCCAAGGCCAGTCAAAACCCCAGGTCCTTGGCCCTTTTGACCCTTCTGGTCCTGGCCCCAGCACTGACCAGTTGAGGGTGCCTCAGGTCAGGCTTCTTGAGCACCTAGCTCACTCTCTCTTTTAATTACCCGGACATCTGCTGGGAGGAACAGTCAGCCAGGACGGACCGTTCCAGGAGGTTCCTAGCTGAGATACAGGACCTCCACTTAATCCAGGAGGTGCACAGGCCCACCAGAGGAAATGCCCTGTTGGACCTGGTCCTGGCCACAGGCGATGACCTGGTAAGGGGCCTCCAGGTTCTTGACCACCTGGG